ATTCCTGCTCTTTAATTGTGGGTGGTTTCTTTTCTATAAGAACAGGCTTCTTTCCTGGGAATTGGTGGGAATTAGAGTGGAACAAATGAAAAGAAGGAAAAATAACGGCTGTTAATTGCTTTTTTTTTTGTTTATGAAGCCTTTCATTTCATTCTTCTAGGAGCAACTCTGCAAAGGGGGGTATTTAAATGCACTGCTTTGATAGATCCAGGGACACTTCTTGTTGCTCGCTGCCTCTTGTGCAACACTTTCTTTGGTGTAAGCCACGTTCTCTTCCAAGACAGGCTTGGACCCTCAGCTCGTACTGGTGGTATCAGGTGCAGCCACTGGGAACCAGTGCAAAGTTGTGGTTTGGAAGAGAGCAGCTGAGATGGGATGTGAACCTCTTCTGTGGTAGTGCTTCCACTAATCAAATATAACTTCAGGATCCAGCCCTTGCAGTCACTGGTGGCTGGTGTTGCTTAGCTGGCCAGGGATGCTGAAGAAGACATGTGCTGTGTAACCCAGGCTACAAAGCAGCTCCTGCTCTCCACAGGTGATGGGGCTGGTGGGGGTTTTGCTTAGGATGGTGTTTGGTTGCCTTCTAGGATGAAGATATCTAAGTGGAGGTGGAGTAGCATCTCCCTTGGGGCACGATCCCAGCTGAAAGGCACCTTGGCCCTTCTCCTCGTGGGCAACGTTGCCTTTGTGATAGCTCAGGTAAGCATGCTGCCTTGCTGAGGAGGTCTCTGGGCCTTACAATGGTGTGGTGTCTGGGATGGACAACCCCTGGGACTCTCAGGACTGGTCTGTGCAGGCATCAGGTCTCTAGCAAGCGTGAGGACGGGTGACTTTGCTTAGCTCTTTAGTCTGGAGGTATCTGGAGGTGGAGGTATCAAGGATGGACTGGTCTGTGCAGGCATCAGGTCTCCAGCAAGCGTGAGGACGTGTGACTTGGCTTAGCTCTTTAGTCTGGAGCTATCTGGAGGTGGAGGTATCAAGGACCCTCCTGATGTGACAAACCTGTTCTTGCACAGAGCTCATGGGCTCCTCCAGCCTCCCAGCCTCCACTGTTGTGCTGCAGAGTGGTTTTGCAATGGCTTTCTTAAGCTTTCAGTGAAGATCTTGGCTGCAACTGGCTCTTCAGCTCCCTGAATTCACTGTGGAGCAAGAGTCAGAGTGCACCAAAAGACTTGGAGGGTTTAGAGTTGTTTGGGAGCTCGGTTTTGCCAACTGAGCAAAACAATAAACACTTCCTTTCCTGAGGAATCCCAAATATTGCCACTGCATTCCAATTTGTAATGAAAACACAATTGGAAAAAGACAGGGCTTCTTGCAGACAGAGGGGTTTCAAAGCCGTGGAGATGTGGTGCTGAGGGACACGATTTAGTGGTGGCCTTGGCAGTGCTGGCTTAACGGTTGGGCTTGGTGGTCTTAAAGGTCTTTTCCAACCAAAATAATCTTTTCCAACCTCAAAGGTGTTTTCCAACCTAAACGATTCTCTGGAACTCTCAGGCTTGACCTCGCCTGGGGAAGGAGACGCCCTGCTCAGCGAGGGCAGGCTGGGGGGGGGACACCCTGGGTCACCCCTGGGTGGGCATGCTGACTGGTGCTTCTCTCCCCACCCTGCCTGGAGCAGGACCTGACACAGAGCTCCAACAGCCTGGAGGAGGGGGCAGACGTCACGGCCTACTGGTGGGGCGAGTGGACCAAGTGGACGGCGTGCACCAGGACCTGCGGGGGAGGAGTCAAGTCCCAGGAGAGGCACTGCCTGAGGCAGAGGTACAGCACCCACCTGCCAGCCTCTGGGCACCCCCAGCCTGCTGGGGGTAGGCTTGGTCCACAACATCATCGCCCAGTAGATAAGTGAAAAGGGGTTGGCTGGCAAACCCTGCCCGTGCAGAAGGTGAGCGTGCCCCAAGCGTGCTGCCACCAGGAGGCTGTGCCCTGGGCATCCCTGCTGGGAGGACCAGCTGAGCTGTTCCTGTGCTGGCCCTGAGGTGTCTCCTGCAGGGATTAGTGCAGAAGAGCAGCAGATGTAGCATGGCTCCTGTCTCAAGGCTCTGGGCACAGCAGTGAGGACGCTGTGGTGCAGGGGTGGTTGAGGATCTGCTCATCCTGGCTGCTCTGTGCATGGCTCTGCCCTTTCTGGGCTGTGTGGCTGCCAGAAGGCACCTTGCAAACCTTGTCCCCAGGTCCTCATCCCCATGATCCCTCCTAGGATGCTATAATAAGACATGGAGACCAATCTTACAGAAGCAGGGGACAAATATATTCAGAAAAGGGGAAAGAAGTGTTCCTGAGCCCTGTCTAACCATCATTTCTCTATTCAGAAGAAAGTCAGTGAGTGGGCTGGCTAATAAAACTTGCACGGGGACATCCAAAAGATACCAGCTCTGCAAAGTACAAGTAAGGATATCATTTTTCTCCTTGAGAATGCTTGATGTAAAACATGGGCAGTCATGCTTGCTTTGAGTGCTGGCATTTCTGGGGCCCCTTAGAGAGGAGATGCCATTTGTCCTGTAGATGCCACCCTGTTGCTCCTCCAAGCAACTGAAGTTCCCTCCTTTGGTGTCCCTCACGCTTGTGTTGGGGCTTTGGACCTTCTGCCTGGGTTGGGGGCTGTAAAACCCAGTGGGTGGTTCTTATACCATCTCCCAGGAGGGTTTCCCTGCAGAGGGAGGAGGAGGAGGAGGAGGATGTGGCTCTGGATGGGGCAGGCGATGGAAACACTCCTTGCAGTCAGTTGAGATGTGCCAGAAACCTTTCCCACATTTTGTTTTCATCAGGATATTAATGTATCCCATTCTAGGAGTGCCCTGCAAACGGAAGGAGCTTTCGAGAGGAGCAGTGTTCATCATTTAACTCCCATGTGTATAACGGCAGAACATATCAATGGAAACCTTTATATCCTGGTAACAAGACATTCTTTGTGTGTTTCATAATGCTTAGCCAAAATATTTTGATAGTTATGATGCTATAGCCTGCAGGAAGGCTCCTCCTCTGCTGCTCTAAAGTGATTTTTCAGAGACACAATCAGCTGTCTCCCACGTTCAAAGGCATGTTTTGCAGCTGCAGGGTAGCTTAAAAATAAAATAACTACATGAATTTATGGCTGTAGCCTGGGTTGGTCACAGCTCCTGAGAAGCAGAGAGCTGGAAGGCTGGAGGAGGATGAGGGAGCATGGGGTGAGGGACTGTGCTGGCAGGGGGAGTCTGGCTCACCCAAACAAGTGGCCTTTGAGCTGGGGCCCTTGCTGGCTGTGTGGCATCTCGGGGACATTTGCTCCCTCCCACGTCCTTCATGTGCTCTGCCAAATGGCACCAAGATGCAGCCAGGCAGCTTGGTCATCTGGGGTGAGCGATGCAGAACTGCACAAATAACTCAGGAGTCAGAGATTGAGAGGTTATTTAATTTTTAGGCACCGAATTCTCATCGAAATCAAGCATTAAATAAAAATCACAGCCAATTTTAGAGCTACTGAGAACTCAGGACTCTCCTCCTGAGGAGCAGGCTCCCAAGAGCTGGTTCTTCAGATTTGCAGTGGCAGTTGGGTGTCACTACAGATGGGCTCCAATGCAACTTTCCTCTTTTAAGGGTCTCTGTATGGATTTAAGAACAGTTATGCTCCCTGAAATCACTTGTTGCCTCCTTTTCTGTGAAACAAGCCCCTGTCTCAGCAGGGTCAGTGTGGTAGAACCTGACCCATGGCAGGCTGGCTTGGCTGTAGCTCTTTGGCTGCTTCTGTCCCTTTCCTATGGCAAGGTGACAGTTTCTTTAAGCATCTTTGCTGCTCAGGATGATTCTCCAGAATTGTTACAGTGAATTGTTTTGTTTTTTAGCAGGCGTTCACGTGGCTCCTGGGGGATTTGCAGATAATGTTTTGACATTGATGCTGTCTTGCTTGGGCACACAGGCCAGTGGGTATATGACTGCTCCCTACTTGGTGGAGTTCAACTCTTAGAGTTGGGTTTCTGATGAAAATAGGAATTTGTCATTCACTTCCTGGGGATATTATAAAATAGGGGGCTACTGTGCCAGGGGATGCAGCCCGGCCAGTTGCCTGCAGAAAGTAAAGAGCAAATTAAGTCTGAATTAAGTCTGAAATTAAGTCTGGCTTGGGTGAACATTTATGGAAAAGTTTTTATGTTTTAAACTGACATGGTTTTGAATATTATATGTATTTATAATGCTATATCTGTGCTAATTTAAGTCACATATTAAATGCTGATATGTGGACGTGCATATGTTTTGATGTCATGTGTATGTTTATCCCTGCTGCAAGTCCTCGCACAGGATCGTGGCCGTTGCTGCCTCAGTGCATGCCCTGGGCTGATGTTGGTGATACTGGTGGCATCACGAGGGGCACCCACTCCTGGCTGTGCAGGGGCTTGCAGCAGGGGGCTGGCATGCTCTCAGAAGTGCCGTCTCCTGCCCAGCCCCAAACACAAGAGATGGGAGCTTCTGAACTGCTGGCTGCTGTGCAAATGTGCTGTTGCTGCTGTTGTTTAGCTTGGCAGAGATTCATTGACATTGGTAGGATGAAAGTTTTTTTTGTGTTTCTGCTGTTTTGAATGTATTTTTATATCCTTTCCCCTCAGATGACTATGTTCACATTTCTAGCAAGCCCTGTGACCTCCATTGCACCACTGTGGATGGTCAGAGACAGTTAATGGTTCAGGCTCGGGATGGAACATCCTGCAAATACACTGATTTCCGAGGGGTTTGCGTGTCTGGAAAATGTGAGGTTGTTAAACATTATAGCAAAAATCACTTCAGTAGCATTCAGAAACCTGCGGCGGGGGCAACATTCGCCTGAGCCTCGCCCCTCTCTCCCTGTGTCCTGCAGCCCATCGGGTGTGATGGCATCCTCTTCTCCACCCACACCTTGGATAAATGTGGAGTTTGCCAAGGAGATGGGAGCAGCTGCACTCACGTGACCGGCAGTTACAGGAAAGGAAATTCCCATCTTGGTAAGGCTTTTGGGAACCTCTTGCTTTCCTTGCAGCAGAAGGCTATATTTAAAAACGTGCTTTATTTTTGGTAAATTGCTTTCAACTCTTATCCACTGCCCCGCTTCAGGGTTTCCCATGTGTTTTATGTGTGTCTCAACTCCACTCGTAGACTTGGGAAAACCTGTTTTTAAAGATAAACCAGTAACTTTGCACAGCACGTCGGAAGCCTCAGGTCTGTGATGCTGAGTGGTGCAAAAGGGTTATGCAAGAGGCTGGTGTCTTTTTTAGTTGTCTTTCTCATGACCCAGTAAGACTAGGAATAAATGGTTTGTAATAACAGGAAGCGAGGATATTTTGAAAGACCAGGATTTCCAAAATTAGCATGATGTAAAGCAACAGAACCTACTTGTCTCAGATAGAGCAATCTAACTCGGGAATAATGATTAATGCTCTCTGAGGACCAGTGTAAGGTGGAGCAAGGAACTTCAGTGGCCTCTTGAGAGGACTCATCTCACCACTTACCTCCTGCTAAGCAAAGAGAAGCTGGAGGAGAACCAAGCTGTGATCTCTCACTGGGGCTAGCCCGTGAGGGTTGCATCCTTTCCCCCCTTTGGCTGTATTTTTCCACCCTAAACCAGGAAGCATAGTTCACACATTTATCTTTTCTATTAGCAATAAGGTCCTGTTTGCAGCCTAGCAGTTCTCAACATTAGAGTGGTTTTTTTTTTTAATCCATAACACCTTAAAAGTCATTTTGGATCCAGGCCAGTTTGCTTGATCTATCTTGTAATATTGGCTAACGAGTGTTTCATTCAGATTATTTGTTACAGAGTTCCTCTCGTTAATCTGTAGTTTCCCACAGGCTATTCTCTGGTCACACACATTACTGCTGGAGCAAGGGATATCCAGATAGTGGAACGGAAAAAATCTGCAGATGTTCTGGGTGTGTATAACCTCTTGGTGCTTCCCTCAGACTCATGCCTGTACTGCTAATGTTTTTGTTCCAATGTGAAGCTGAGCGTAGTTTTATTGCAGACAGGAGCTAAATCCATAGTTGTCCAAGCCTGTGAGTTTCTCCTCTCTGCAGTCTGAGCACCTGGGCTGTCTACATCAACACTTGGATTGCTTTAATGCAGAAACTGTTGGTCAATATTATTGCTCCTTCAGGGTGGTATGACCAACACCCTGCTGCTGGATCACAGAGAGCCAAGTGACTTCACCTCTCTGCTGATCCTCTTGGTCTTCAGCTTGGGCAATGTGCAATGGCCACGTGACAGCAGCACCCAGGAGGTGTGACCTAAGTGTTGGGGGCCACACCATCCCTCTCATGATGGAGATGGCAGTGCTGCTCAGAGAGAGGGTGAAAAAATCTGGACTTGCCCAAGAGAAGCATATCTGCTGCCGTCACCCTCTGCTGCCTCAGAGGCTCGTGGCCATGTGCAGGAAGGTTTGAATGAAAAAGGCTTGGTTTAGTGTCCTGGATGACTTGTCTTGGGCCACTGCTGGGTGAGGTGGCATCAACTCAGTGCTCCCGAGGAGGCAACTCCTGCTCTTGGCCATCTAACAGCCGAGTCTTGGTCTGCAGAGCTGTGATTATGAAATGTTTGTGCTGTGCTGGTGCCCAAAGGGTGAGAGGAACCATGGGCTAGTGTAAGCCACATACCCAGGAACTTGCAGTGTAGAGGGATGCACGGCCCAAACTTGATTATGAAATGTTTGTGCTGTGCTGGTGCCCAAAGGGTGAGAGGAACCATGGGCTAGTGTAAGCTTGCAGTGCAGAGGGATGCACAGCCCAAACTCTGGGCACATACTCTCATGATATATGTTGGAAAGAGGTGCTAAATGCATTGTAATGTAGGAGAAACACTTGTTTAATTGTTGAGATGCTGTAGTGATTTTATCCCCTGGATGAACAAGTGGCAGTATCACCCATCTCTGCTCTGCCATCTGACAGCATTGGTTTTTCTCTCTCGTTTGAAGCTGTGGCTGATGAAGCTGGGTACTATTTCTTCAATGGGAACTACAAAGTTGATACTCCAAAGAACTTCAACATTGCAGGCACGGTGTTCAAGTACCGCAGGCCCATGGACGTCTATGAGACTGGCATAGAGTATATTGTAGCCCAAGGGCCAACAAACCAAGGGTTGAACATCATGGTGAGCTTTGACTTTTCAAGTTCACAAGGCTGGGAGTGCTGGGGAAGGGAAAGTCTGTGTTGGGTGGAGGAAGGGGTGGGCAGGGCTGTGGATGATGAGCATGGGCTTGGTAACCCCTCTCTCTGCAGGGAGAAGATGCCTTGGGCACTGTGGGGGGATTTCTCTTCAGCTCCTTGGCATTATCTGAGTGACCTGGCAGGAGAAGTGAAAATAAGGAATTAGGCCAGATAGCTTAGACAAGTGCATGAAACTTAAACCCCAGCTCTTTCTTTGAAAGCAAACCATCTAAAACCAGACATAGGAAGAAAGGTAATTTAATTTTCTTCTGGGCAGCCAGCCAGAGCCAAACTCCTTCCCTCTCCTAGGTAGCTCCAGACTCCTCTGGAAGGAGAAGGGATGGTTGCTTGGGTGCTTATAAAGCATTAGACCAGTAAGAGGCTGTAGTGCATCAGCTGCAAGTCCCCATCCATCCCCAGTGGGATGCAGTAGCTGAAGGGGGCATGTGTATGCTCCTCAAAAACCACAATAAAGGGATTTGCAGACGATGGTCAGTAACTTCTGAAGTGGATCTCCCAAGTCTCTGGTCACTCAGTGGCTGAGGAGGAAGCATGACCTGGGACCCCCATCCCTGAGCTGGGGCTAATCCCCAGGGCACTCCAGCCAAATATCCCTTGGGACATTGTGCTCGGCTCCAGTTGTAAGATGTTGGCAGTAAGGTTGGAAATAGCAAAGGAGATGCTCCCCAAGTGTCGAGTCCCAGGTGAATCACAAGTTTGCATGCCATATATTTGCTGCATCCACTAATAATTTAATTTGTTTGCTAGGTCTGGAATCAAAATGGCAAGAATCCATCCATCACGTTTGAATACACCCTCCTGAGGAAGCCACACTCAAAAAACCTGCAGCCCATCTACTACACCTTCTCCGAGTCAGACAGTGAAGAAAGCAGAGAGTTTGATGGAGATGTGCCATTGGGCTTCATCCAGCACAATGCAACCTATTTTGGGAAAATCTCCAGGGAAAGGATAGACTTGGAGAACCAGGTGTTTGGAAGGCAGGACACGGAGGAAGATTTAAACTTGAGCAAAGGTCAGGAAACCAATGAGGTCTATGAAAGAGCAGAAACTATTGACTGTGAGCCAAAACTGAAGGGCAAACAACCCCAAGGTAAGGAGGAGACTTGGGCCTCACCGTTCTGCTTCTCAGAGCTCTTGTTGAGAAATGCTCTGTTTCTATCTCTGGTGATTCTGCTGGTTTGTTTTTTGGAAAACCTGGAAAGTTCTTTAAAACATCTCTGCTCATAAATCCTCTTTGCCCTTCAGGTTCTGGTTTCTGGAGGGTGGGGGGTGGCCATGGGTAAGGTGTCCCTGCTGGTGCCCTGCCGTGCTTTGCCTCATGCCAAGGACAGGAGGGAGCCCTGGGTGCACAGAGCTCCCCGTTACATCTTCCATCACCTCCCACCTCCCCACAGCCCCCAACAACCTCCTTCCCACTCCAGTCCTTCGGGCATCCCACCACCAATCTGCCTTGAGTGCTTTGCCAGCATGGCTGCATGGGCTCCGGGGCCAGGAGAGCATCTTCCTTTGACCTCTGCTATTGCTTGGGGCAGTGCTGGCAGGTGCTGAGCTCTCCTCTGGCCATGCAATACCAGGATGAGACCCACAGAGCTACACACCCTTCCCAAATGGGTACACCCCCCTGAGACTCCCCCTCCCCAGGACCCCAGCTCCTGCCTGCAGCCTCTGCTCGGGCTCTGGCGTGCCCCCGCTGCTCCAGGCTGCTTCCTGCCCCCAGCCTGAATGCAGTTTGTGGTTGTCATTGTTGTTTCCCCCTGTTGGCTCCAATCTAGATTCAAACGTAACCAGGTCTACTTACCAGACAGACCATGACGACAGAGACCTCGACCCCAGGCTCACCTCCAGGGAATTCCTTCTGGAGAATGCCATCACGGACAAGCTGCTGGACAAGGACTCCAAGGAGCTGATGCTCAACATGACCATGAACAGCATCTTTGCCCAGGGAGACCCAATCAACTCTGTGGGCTCACACATTGACAGCCTCTATGTTGACTACGAGGACACTGATGGCGTTGTGACCTACAGCATTAACAGCACTTACCTGGAGCTGAGCAATGGCAAAGCCATCAACTCCTCTGCAGAGACAACGTTTTCAAATGCCACTGGCACCATGACCAGCCCTCAAGGGAACAGAACCCACAAAGCAAGGTAGGAGACTTGTCTTTAGTTATAGTAAATCCTACTGATTGCTAGTCTTGACTCGTAATAGCCCTGTACTCAATGCAGACCCCATTACATGGTTTCTAGCTGCTTTGGAAGCCAGAAGGTAAGTGGGGGTAGGATGATGTATGTGGAAGCTTTTGGATGGGGGTAAATCTGGAAGGAAGGGCCTGGGATTTGAGAGCAGAAAGTCAAGAGAGCATTTAAGCAAGAGGAAAACTCGCTGCCCTCCTTGGTGGAGGTGCTGGTGAGTCCATGCTGATGGCTGTCAGCTTGTGCATGGATCTCTGCCTGTCACAGCTTGTTACCAGAGCTGTGACCATAAAGAAGCTGCTTCCTTTTGCCTTCTCTTGGTGTCCTGCTCTGATTCCCCAAGCCTCTTCCTCCGAGCTCTGATGCAGCAGAAGTTGGTCCTGGCCCCATTTTACCCACCCTGTTGACTGCCACCCATGATCCTCCTCCCTAGTGCTGGCAGGAACATGCCTCCAGCAGCTCTTGGGCATGGCCCTGCCTGCTTCCCTGCTGCTGGAGAGGCAGAGCAGGACAGCAGGAGCCCTTCTGCAGGGCTGCAGCAGGAGCCTGGGTTCACTACCTTGGCAGATGCACTGCAACTAGCCACTGCTCTGACAAGGATGCCAAAAGCTCTCCAGTGGCAGCTCACTGACTGATATTAGGACCATACCTTCAGGATTCCTTTCAGTGGCTGGTTTGGAGTTGGTAGTGTTATAAAGTGCAGTAGGAAAGTAAAACAAAAAAAGCCTCATCTGTCTTTAGCAGCAGAGTTTGTCCAGGCAGGGACGGGCTGAGTGAAAGGGAGTCTTGGGCTAGTGCTTGCCCACAAGTCAGTGTCTAGGGCCTTTTGGGGTGTCCTGGGGCTGTGTGGGGAGCAGCCTTTACTCCCAGCCTGTGGGACCTCATCCCCAGCATGGGCACACAGGGACTGAGATGGGACCATTGCTGCAGAGCAGCAATTAGCTGTCCTTCATGTGGAGCCACACTTTGGAGCAATCCCCAGAAAGAATGAGATGAAACTGGGGCCTTGGGAGTCAAACAGGTCCCAGACCCCCTGCTGTGGCTTTGGGTCCTGCTCTGCACCCCCATGGCTTGGCTGGGGACCATGGCACCCACCCCTCCCCTGTGGGTCTCCTCCTGGCTCTGCTGCCGTGACTTCTCTGTCTCCCAGTAAGACAAGGGTTGTGATGCTGAGCTTCAGAAGATGTGAAGCACTGAGCAGATGCTCTCTGGTTGTAGTTAGCTATATTTACCCAGAATTTATACTAGATTATGCTAAAGAAAATGTCCATGAAGCCAAACGTATCAACAAACTTCTTAATGACAAGAACATTGAAACCTTGCCAAGGGCTTGAGTCTATCATCTCTCCTCGTGGCTTGGCTTGGAAACTCTGCCTTTTGCTGCCAAAGCAAGCATTTCATTAGCCCTCTGACAGGCCAGGCCAGCCTGTCCCACCCCCTGCTGTACCCTGCCGGGGGGTGAGCAGGGGGCTGCATGGCCCTTGGGGCTCCCCTGGGCCCTGGCACGCTACTGGGTGGCCTCAGCTGGCACCCTGGACCCCAATCCTCTCCCCAGTAGCTGCTAAATGGGGCTAGTGCTTTCCTAGCTCCTGGGAATACAGGGATTTTTACATGCTTTAAATTCCAGAGCAGCTTGGCTTTTACAGGACAGTTACAAAAATCTGTCAGTGGCTCCAGGGCAGATTTTGTGGTGGTAAAAAAACTCCTGGAACTACCCCATACTGTCCATCTACTGGTGACGTGGGGCAGGGATTTAAACCCCTTTGAGAAGGATACTCAGCATTGCCATTTTATTCCCCCCCCCTTGATTCTTCCCTTGGTTTTGTTCTGCAGTGTTCCCTCTTTCCCCCCCCAAAATCTCTCTAGAAGAAAACGTGAACTTTTCAGATCTAAACATTAATATCCAAAAATTTTTGCCCTAACCAAAAGGCTGCATCCAGGCCCAGCTGGGGCTGTAGCCTGGGCTGAGAGATGCTCAGCTCCTCACTGGCTCCACAGAATCATTTAGGTTGGAAAGGACCCTTAATATCATCAAGTCCACCCTCATCCCTTGCTGTGGGGCTGTTGTGGGGCATTAAAAGGCCAGCAGAGACAGATGTGGGGCAGCTGGGCTGCAGGAAACGTGCTGTTTGGAGGCACCCCTTTTTATTAAAAAAAGAAAAGGGAGAGGTGAAGGGCCAAAAAGGCAACAAAAAGACTTGTGAGGCCTTGCCCACTGCATGGTGGCATTGCTCTCCTCCCCAGCAGTTCAGAAAGTCCCATCATGTCATTGGCAGTTAGGTCATTGGCATGTGTGGGCACTTGTGGAGTGATGGACATGTTTGCAGGGGGTGAGGTGTTCTGCAGCCACTGCAGAGATGAGAGATCTCTCCTTCCAGGCATGTTTTGGGGCAGCCTGATTGTGCCTGGGCCATTAGCACTTCCCCCAGCTTTTAATTCATTATCATAGAATACCTGGTTGGAAGGAACCTTATGGATCATCTGGCCCAACTTTTCCTGGCAAAAGCTTCAAGCTCAGTTGCAATCCTAATGCTACCCACTGACCTGCAATTCCTGGGTGGGGATGATGGGTGAGGAGCCCCAGCTCAGCTCACTGAGGCCAGGATTAAAGCTCCCTCCAGCACCCAGCCTGGCAGGATGAAGCCCATAGTGACAGCAGGATGTGGATTTGGGGTTGGGGTGTCATAGGCAGGGTGCTGGAGCATGAGGAGTGTGAAGGGCACGGAGGATTGGACTGGTTTCTCCAGGAGCAAGGAAGGTGGTGGGGACAGCCAGAAGCTGCACTGAAGGAAATGGTGATGGGCAACAAGGAAAAACCTCTTGCCCTAAGCCTGGGTGGGGGAATCTCCATCCTTGGAGATGGGTCAAGCTGCACTGTGCAGGGCCCTGTGGGACCCAGTCTCTTACTGGGGTCAGCCCAGGTCTGGGCAGGAGCTTGGACTCGAGACCTCCCAAGTGCTTCCCAGGCTCAGTTTGGTGGCTTCTTGCTCATTTTCATTCCCTGAGAATGAACAAGCAAGGGAAGATGATCTTTGCAGAGAGTAACCAGGCAGTCTGTGCACGTGGGACAGGGTTGGTTTGAGGTGGGGCATTTTATGTCTTTCTAAGCTGTGGTAGTCTTAGTGTGGATGAAGTTACCCAGTTATGGGAGCACCTTGCACCAGTGTGGTGTGTTGTGTCTCCTCTCTGGGAACAAGCCCTGCTGGGACTGGGATGGGTGGGTGCCTCTTGTGCTGTGGCAGGATTGCAGTCCTGCTTTTCCTCTCCTGAAGCCATGGAAACCTTCCTGTGCCATGCCAGGGCAGATCAGGCATCCTTCACCCTCTGCCCTGTGCTGCAGTGTGCGGCCAGGGCTGACCCTGCAACAGGAGCACGAATTTCCCCCTTTGCTTCAAGACAAAACCCAAACAAATCACAGAAAATTGAGCCCAGGGACTCTGGATGTCGGTCTGTGGTGTTTGTGTGAACTTGTTAGGATATTCTAGTCCTGTGGGACTGTTTTGGGAGGATAGACAGCCCAGACCTAAGCTAGGGACAAGGGGCTGGTGCTGATTTTTGTTGCTGTTGCTTGATTGAAAACCAGAAGCCAAGTGCAGGCAGGGGAGAAAACATTTTTTATAATAAATCTCATAATAAAAAGGAAAACTAAAAGAGAAAAAAGCCCACCAGCTTTGTGGGACAATGTGCTGCTGTTTGCATGCCGAGCAGAACAAAATGACAGTTTTGTCTTTGTTTGAAATGGCAAGAGAGCTAAATGCTGCCCTATGACCAAATGTCTGATTTATCTGGGAAGAACTTGTCCCTGCAACCTCGTCATGCATAGAAGAAGCTCTTTATTCAGGATCGTGTACACTAAAGGGACACTGTTGAAAGATTTTCTGTCCTGAGATGTGGTATAAAGCCTATTTTGAAGATTATTTTCCCCTTTCGAGGGAGAGGAGTTGCGGTCACAAGATGACTTGGTGTTTACTTTGGTGCCTCAGGGAGCAAGAGGATCTAGGTAATACCCTCTTTTCCAGGCAAATTAAAGGACAAAAAGCAGATGCTGGCTATATTTTAATGGATCTTACTGAAAACTGTCATCTTGTGAGCCCTCTCCTGGCTGGGTGGCAGCAGGCAGCACACCGATGGCACCTGGGGCTGCCGCGGGTCCCCAGGCAGAGCTGGTTTGGCAAGAAAAAAACCCTATTTATAGGGAGCTGAGGCTGTTGTTTTTCTGCAAAAAATAGTCACATTCATTTCGGTTCCATTTCAAACGCAGGAAGCGACCATTTGCCAAACAGACAGAGGCAAAATCAAGAGGGGAAAATGAGATTGTTGTTGTTTTTAATCCTTCCCGAGGCTCAGGGCTGGCGGTGGAAGGAGGGTGGGTCTGAAAGGAAACGGCTGGATTCTCAACAGTGTCCTTTTAAAGGTTGATTTGATAGGCTGGACCTGAACTTTTTCTTACCAACAACTAAATAAGGCAATTTCAGAGCTTCTGCTGCCTAGAAATCATACAAGCTGCATATCTCGCCAGGCCAGAGACTACTGGAGGTCAGGACACAACCTTGTACGCTATTTCAGTGTAGCTGTGCCAAGGGTTTGAACAGAGGGATGAGGGCAGAATCCAAGCCTTTTGTTGTAAAGGTGCAGTATCCCTGGTGTGTGTTAACCTCACAGCACGTAGGATGCACTGAACTGGGAGGAGCTGTTCTTTTTTTGGTTTGACAAATGCACCAGGCTGACTCCATCACTCCTCTCCCAGCGGCACTGTGTGTCTGAGCACGGCACGGGTACGAGAGATCCAAACTACCTAAAATCAACCAGAAATAAAACCAAACCAAAACAGTTGCAAAAGCAGCGGGCAGGCAAACAGCACGCCTGGGTGGTTCAGAAGCAAAGTGTGTTTTGAGAAGCAAGTTTATAAACCCCTGTGCCACGTGTTGGCTTTGGGAAGGAGAGAGCTGCTGAGATTGGAGCGGCCGAAAGCTCTGCTGCGTTGAGCAGCATGAGTTTGGTGTGCCCAGCCCTGGAGATGCAGGGGAGGAGATACTGCACCTTTAGTCACTGTATGCCAAGGGCCAGGTGTATTTGAGCAGAAAAAAAATGCAAACTTTGTTAAATTCTGAACTGTTTCTACTTGTGGGTATTTTTATCCCATTCTCTCTATTTCTAGACAGTGGAAGCTCTGCCTCTAACCGGGCTGGGGATTCTACTTGGGGCTCAGGACAGGTATGTTGTGAAACGAAACAAACCAATGAAAACAAACAAACAAACCCCCCAAAAAAATCAGAAAAACCAAACCCAATGGCCAAACTAAACAAATCCCCTCCCAAACCCGAACCCAACCAAACTGCAGCCTGCTGGCAGATGTGTGTGTCTGACGTGGCCTTGTCACCGCTCGCCTTGTAAATGCCTTTTTTTTTTGTTTGTTTTTTGTTTGTTTGTTTGTTTTGTTTTGTTTGCTTATCGCTAGAAACAGATTGAAGTTGTTAAGAAAGGGCCAAGGTGTGAGTGCTGCTGACATGTACAGGTGGAAGCTTTCCTCCCATGAACCCTGCAGCTCTACATGTACCACAGGTAGTTCTAAGAAGCAGCCAAATTCTGCACAACCGCTGAAATCACCTGGTGTGTGAGTCACTTTTATGTCTGTTAGGGATGGGAAGGACCTGGTGCTGTGTAGGGGATCTTGTGATCTCTGGAGTTGGTTTTAGCACGCCCCCAAATCTGCTCTGCCCGGGTGCAAAGGTCTCAGCATATCGCCCTCTCTTTTTTGCCTGCCTTTGGACCATTCAGAGGGGTTTGAAAAGCTCAGATGCTTCCCCATAGGGTGAAATTTTGGAGGTTATCCAGCTCTGGCAGGAAACAAACCAGCATTTGGCTTTTTGATTTTGTTTTGTTTCTCCCCCTCCTTCTACCTTGGAGCCTGATCTTGGCTGCGAGGGTGTAAACCTGGAACAGTGATGTAGACGCCAGGGTATCAAAACTGAGCCTGTGTTCTTTTTTGTATAAATTCCCCCTTTTTGCCCCCTGAAAAGCTTCAAGCCACTTGATCTCTCTCTCCTCCTTTTCTCCTTGGCTAGGGGGTCCTGGCCCCTGCGAGCCCATCGCTTGTGAAGCCTGTGAGTGAGTCGAGCGCTCGCCTGAAATAATCCAGATCCTACAGTGCTCCTGGAATTAGAAAGAAGGAAAAAAGGGGGAGAGAGGAGACTGCAATCTAAAGGACATCTCTTAAAAGAGCATATGCAAAGATTTTATTTTTTAAACATTTATTCTTGTCCAGCAGACACATGCCCACAATGTGCCAACAGCAGGAGCTTCACAAGCTGTCCCTTTCCCTGCGATCTCATCAGCCACACGTTCTGAGACATTTTTGACTTCTTTGATCCCCTTTGGAGCAAATTTCCCCCTGGATGGGGCCAGGCTGCTCTGCCCTGGTTTGCAGAGAGAGGTTTTACTTAAATTTCTCCTTTCTCCTTGCCTTAATGACATATCGCAGAGAAGCAATACCACGTCAAGAGCTGTAGATCTTTTTTTAGTTTCATGTAAACCATATGTTCCCGAGAGCTGCAATTCTTGTTACCTGTAGCCAGAGCAGCCTCCTGGTCCCCAGCCAGGTCCCAGAATGGACTTCACAACATTTACTCTGGCACGAGGGGCTGCTGGGGAAAAGCTCTGGGTCTGACGACACCGGCTGCCTGCGCTTTTGGCGGGGGAGCAGGAGGGGCAGGTGCCTCCTGGCAAAGCCCTTCCTCTGCTTGGAGTGCTGGGTGAACCCAGGGAGCACCCGAGCACAAATGGGGCTTCATGGGTGCAGGGAGAGAGGGTGGATGGAGCGGGTTGGGGACCCTTTTCCAGCCCTGAGCCTGGCAGGGTGGGAGCTGATGGCTGCGAGGTGGACGGAGCTGCCGAGCAGACTCGTTGCCCCGAGCGTTTCCTATAAAAACGTGTTAGTCATATATTGATTTTGGTGGCAAGCCCTGGCAGGGGTGGCCGTGCCTGTCTTCAGAGCTGGCCAAATCCAACCACACTGCCCATGCTGGCTGGGTGGCCACCACAGTCCTCCCCTCCCAGCAGCATCCACCCTCCCCCTGGGCCAGAAAGTCCAGCTTGTTGCTTTCCATTGAGAGGAAGTTTTGGAATATGCAGCTCAAAAAAAAAAAAAAAAAAGAGGAAAAAAAAAGAAAGATTTTGGATGTCAAAATCACCAAGCACCCTCTGTTGTGTGTGTGTATTCTCTTTGAAACTAGGAGTGATGTCCACATATGCGATGTGTGTTCGCTATGATGGGATCGAAGTGGACGATACGTACTGTGATGCCATGACCCGTCCCGAGCCCATCCATGAGTTCTGTGCTGGGAGAGAGTGCCAGCCAAGGTACCACCTCACCAGGGTGCTCCTGGGGGGCTCCGTGCTTGCTCTGCTGTGGATGTGTTTGGGGGAGGGGGTTGGTGTGGATTTGGTGGGGAGGGCAGCAGGGACGGCCCGTAGCACCCCTGTCCCTCCTTCCCCTCGTTGGATCTCCCCAGGGTGTAGCAAGATTTTCCTCCTGAGTGCTTTAGCTCAAGCTGCCAGGTTAAAACTTCCATAAATCCTGGCAGAATTTGCCCCTGGTGCTCTCATGGAGTCTGACTTTGAGCAATATGGGCAATATCCTGCCCTGGCCAGAGTGTGGGAATTGGGCGAAGGGGCTGGTCTTGCAAACTGTGCCACGGATCCAGCCCTCTGCTCCCTTCAGCATCCTAAACATCACAGAGGTTTACTTGTAGCAGGGCAAGAGCTGCTGCAGAGGGGAACCCGTGCTGGGTGTCCTTCAGGAGGTTTCCCTTCTGGTGCAGCTCCTTACCAGTAAAGCACCCCTGCTGTCCAGAGCTGCCTGCATGGCTCTGTGTGGGTTTGCAGCACCTGCTTGCTGGAAGGTTTGCCATGAGGAGCAGTTATGGGCAGGACAGGAAAGTGTCTGTCAAAGGGAGGAGGACTGTGATGGTGTCAGACTAGGGACAGGGCAAAGGGAGAAGTAAAGTTGATGTGTGCCCTGGAGTGGTGTCACTTGTGAAGAGTGCAAACCAAGATCAGAGTGATGCCAGGGACCAGAGATGGCACCTGGGCCCTGGAGAGTGGGTGGTTCCAGCTCGGGTAGTTATGAAGGAGGACAGGGGAGGGAAGCACATGCCTATTGCAGTGTAAGATCTCACTGAATGTTTCATGTGAAGGCTGAAGAGCTGCAATGGAGGCAAGAGAAATGTGGGGAGGTGGATGGTACTGCTGCTGGGAACACACCTGCCCTGGAGACGCCATGGGGACTTGGATGTCTATTTGCATTAACTTTGTAATTTTTTGGCAAAAGCATTAGGGCTCTTTTCATGCTTAGATTACCCTGCTGGTCTCTTATAAAGCTGTGCCTCCTTAGAGCTGTGCTGTTCCAGCTCCACAGGCTTTGCACTGGAAGAGAGAAGAGCTGCTCTGTGATTTACTGCTGGTTGCAGCTTGGTTCTGGGTAAAGCAGGAGCTGCCAGGAGCTCAAATTGGGCAGCTGAGCCCATTCTGCTCTGGCCAGCAACACTTTGCCACCAGAAAGTCCTCAGATAACTTTGCCTGATTGGGATGGGAAAGACCTTGGTGTAATATGCCTTCTGAATTTAGGTGGCACCTCTGAATGTGTGACAAAGGCTGCTCATGGTGCCCTGTGGGGCTGTGAGGCTGGGGCTGTGGTTTTCCTGCTCAGAGCAGCACCAGTGGGTGGCACTGGAATGTGGATCCTGACCCAGTTTGATTTTTGCATTTTTTAGCTAGTTCTTCAATTCAGAATTGCTGTAATGTTACCGTACTGTAAAAATCTTGACTTCTTATGGCTTTTCCCTTGGTTTGCAAACTGCTCCCCTCTTGTAACCTCAGGACAGCAGTGGCAGAGGACAGTAAGGGGCAGGCAGTGTCTCGGAGCAGATCCCAGCTCTGCCAGCCCATCACATGATGTTAGCAGCATTAGGCTGACGGTGGTACATGAACATCTGTCCCCGGGGCTCAGACAGCTCTGTGTGACACTATTGCTGGGATCTGCAGGATGATGGATGGTTGGGTCCTCTCAGAAGTCAAACGTGGGCAAAAAGAATGGCAGAGAAATGTGCTGGGATACACAGGGTCGCAGCTGGGGACCCCACAGCCTGGGGGTGCCAAACCCTCACGGCGAGGACACGGCTCGGTGCCTCCTTCCTCTCGGCGAGCTGGGTTTAGCATCCCCACTGCAAGCTCAGCTTTGCTGGGTGAAACTATCCCCACTGCAAGCTCAGCTTTGCTGGGTGAAACTACCACCTCCTGAAACATCCCATCCCGTGGGAAAAGCGCCCGTGCCGGCAGCCCGGCTGCAGCTCAGCCTGGAGGTGGCAGGCAGGGCTTTCCCGGGGGATGCCCCATGCGACGACCTCTCTGCCTCTGCAGGTGGGAGACCAGCAGCTGGAGCGAGTGCTCCCGGACCTGCGGGGAGGGTTTCCAGTTCCGCATCGTGCGCTGCTGGAAGATGATCTCCCCGGGCTTCGACAGCTCCGTGTACAGCGACCTCTGCGAGTCCGCCGACATCGCCCGCCCCGACGAGCGCAAGGTCTGCAAGAACCCCGCCTGTGGGCCCCAGTGGGAGATGTCCGAGTGGTCCGAGGTAGGTGCCCGGGGTGGTGGTCTCACCCAGCAGTGGGGAGAGGGGTGCCCGTGCCTGCTCTTTGCTATTCCTGTCCTGACCCAGCCTGACCCGTGCCCGTCAGACTCTGCCCTTCGGGACGGTGCCCGCAGCCATTGCGCGCCAACCGACGTGCCCCAGGGATTTATTTTTCCCCTAAAATGAAGCCTCGGGTCCCCTCCAGGGTGAGGAGGCCACTGCTCTTGGTCACTCCCAGTCTTTGGCCACATCTAAGGTGCTGACATTGCTCACAGGGAGAGCGGGAGCCCGCAGCTGAGATCCTCCCACCATGGCTTACTGGCCAGGCTCTGCAGCCCACAGGGTGCCAGGGAGAAGATCCCACTTCACGTGTGAATTATGTTCCCATAAATTTTCCTTCCTCACCTCCAGTTTTTTTTCCCCAATGTTGGACACTTTTAAGATTCAGCTGGACAGGGTGCTGGGCCATCTTGTCTAGACTGGGATTTTCTCAAAGGAAGTTGGACCAGATGGTCCTTGAGGTCTCGTCCAACCTGGTACTCGAGGATTCAGTTTCACCTGGAGAATTAAACCTTTCCTGAGCTATACCTTAAGCAGATCCCTAAAACAGCTGGAAGATGGTTTGAGGTGGTGCAGTGCTGCTTTACTTCAGCTCTTTGGTGTGCTCAGGAAAACATGTGGAAGAGTTTGTGCCCCTGAATTCATTTCCAGGCACTGCCAGCACTCCAGTATGTCACTGGAAATGGCCAAACCAGTGCTGCTTTCTCAGGGGCTGAGGCTGGTCTCTGAGCCCAGGTGGCTTGGGAGCCAGGCCCTGGCTGGATTGACACTCAGGGTGCAGGGATGGGACCCAGCGTGGCTCACAGGGAGCATGTAAAACACATGGAGGGTGTAACTGCCCCTCTGCACTGCTAGGAAACAGCCCTGCCCCTTCCATGTCCTCTGGAACTGGGTGTGCACGGGGAGAGTGAGCGATCAGGTCTGTCTCTGAGCTTGCCCAGGGTGCCACCAGCAGACCCCGTGATGGGGGTGGCTGCACGCAGAGTGTGGCACTTGTGTCCCAGAGCCCACATGCTCCTTGACTCTC